TTATCTAGACTGTGCTTTCCTTTCGTCCACCATTGCCCCTCTTCAACCTGTTCTCAGCATGGCAGCTCAGGATGAATCTGTTAAAATGTAAAATGTACAGGAGAAAAACATTTTTGAGGTGATGGATGTGCTTATTATTTTGATTGTCGTGATGGTTTCATGGATGTATACAGTCAAGACTTACCTAATTATACACTTTAAATATACACAATTTCTTGTATGTCAACTATACCTCAAGAAAACTGTTAAAATTTTAAATTAATATATCAGGTTGTTTCAGTTTTTGTTCAAAATGCTCCTATAACATCCTTTTTCAATCTGAATAAAAGCCAAAGTCTTTAGAATGGTCTTCAAGGGCCTGCATGGTCTCTGACAGTCACTCAGTCTTTCTATTCATTCTGGAACCCTCACTGTTTGTTCCATAGACACACCAGAGTATGCTCCCATTGTATCTTTACCTGAATTGCTTCTTGCACAGATATCCAAATAGGTTCTTTCATTGCTTCACTCAAGACTTTACTCAAATATCACCTCCATGAGACCTTCCGTGGTCACTAAATCACAGCCTTACACCATTTCACTTCTTATCGTCCTTCCTTGCTTCATTTTTCTCCTAAGCATTTATTATTATTATATGATTATATACAACATATTATTTTTCTTTTAAAAAAACACCCCCAAACTTATCTACTTCATTAGAATATAACGTTTCAGTGGCAGGGATTTTTTTTTCCTGTTGTGTTCACTGCTATATCTCCAGTTTCAGGAACTGATGCCAGGCACATAGTAGGTGTTCGGTCTAAGTTTTCTAGATGAATGAATGAATTTCTATGGTGATGACAAAAGGCTAGATTGGGGAAATGGAAAGGAAAAGCTATTATCTGAAACATTTTAGAGGAAAGGATAACAGTGGGAAGTAGCCAGGGACTTGGTTTGGGGTCTGGGTAAAGATAATAAATGAGGTGCTTGGGAAGAGAGTCTGGCCTCCAGCCCACTGCACTTAGGTGGTGATAGGAAAGACAGGTGGAACTGGTCAGCAAGTTAGGAGGACAGGGGTGGAGCACAAGAACTGTCAGTACCAAGGATGGAATTCTCAGAGGTGTCCAGGTGGATGTATGAATTGAGATAGTTGGAATGGGTGAAACATGAGAGATGTAGAGAGATACAGAAGACTGAACTCTGAGCTCTGAAGAATGTTTAGTCTTTAATGGAAAAAGCAAAACCAGTGGAAGAAGAAAGACAGCAGTGGCTATAACAATCTAAAGATGTAGAATAAGACAATATTCCATAAGCCCAAAGAAGGTGCAGTTTAAGAAATAGTTGATATGTTAGAAGAAAACATTATAATTACCCTTCCATGTCTTTGTTGTACTTTTGCTGAAATGTTCCCATGTTATTGTCTGGAACAGAATCGTTGCTTTTATTTTTATTATGTTGCTCACCTTGAAATCAACAGGTTTTGATATTTTCTTTTAGAAGATTTTATATCTTTTTGGGAAATGTAATATAAGATCTCTAATAAAAGATAATCTTAAAATAAAAAAAAAAGAAATAGTTGATGATCTATAAAGTAAAGTATGTCAGAGATTGGACACTGGAGTTCTCTGAGAAAGGGTCAACATAGTGAAGCCAGCTTGCAATAGATTAAAACAAAAATAAATGATGGGGAAATGGAGGCAGTGGTTGTGGGCAGCAAAGAGGGGAAGAAAAACACAATCTCTCTATAAGAACCAGACAAGGATTTTGTCTAGATCTTGGCGTCCTGAGACAGTTGGGAGTGGAGGAGAAAAATTATGATGTCAGAGTGGGGACTGTCATTGAAGGAAGAATGCTGCACCATGGGCAGGAACCAGGGGCCATGCCTGGACCCTGGCATTTTCCTGTGAAGCTGTAGGTTCAGAATTGAAAAGAGTTGGGGGCTACATGCTACGGTAAGACAGAGCCAAAGTATGTGAGTGAGTGCAGGTGGGTGGGTGCAGTGTGTGTGTGTGTGACACTATATGTATGGGAACAGGGACTGGGTACTCACCCTAGGGCCTCCATCTTTAACATGAAGACATCCCTTTCTAAGACTTGGAGAGGTCAAGGCAAGCAGGAACTAGCTGTTGAAAGTCAAATTCCTAATAGAGAAATTCCTAAGATTGTGGCTGATAGAACTGGTACCTTCTGTTCTTGAAATGATGTCCACACCCAATGCCCTTCAGTGTATTTCAACTCAGAACTGAGTAGAAGTGCTCCATAGGGTTTCTGAAACTATAAATCTTGATGGAAGCAAACAGCCTCATCTTTCTCCTGCAGAATAGCTAATACGGGTTGGAAACATCAACCTTGCCTTTAGTAGTCCAATATGGAACCCAAGGCATTACAAGGGTTCCTTGAACTGGAATTTTTGTTTTTTAAACTCCCTAGAAGATTTGTATGTTTTACTGGATTTAGAATCCATTTTCCTGAAAGGATCAGATGGATTACAAAGACATGGTGTACAGTGAGCCAAGCCTGCAGGATGCTACTTTTTTCTCATTTACTATTGACTCATTGATTCATTTGAAAGCATTTATTCAGGTTGGTACCAGACAGGTCTTTAAATCACAGATACACTGTGCCCATCCCCTGCTCAGAGGTTTATTCCATGTAGCAGAAAGACTGGCTAACTGAACTTGCAAGCCATCCCCCAGCAGAGTCTTCCTCTCTGCTGTCTCCCTAGGCTGATTTTACCCAATCCTATAACTCATACTACTCATACTATCTCTGAGAGAAGCTAACAGCCGAGGTATAATGCTCCTTAGCCTCGTCCCCTCCGGTTTACTGCTGAGAAAGGGCGCTGGGGCTTCTGTAAAGATCTGGGTGAGGTGATAAGGTTGTCTTTCTTCCCCACTAAGACGCAGCTAGCCAACTGGCAGAAGGAGGCTCTGAGCAGGGTGGGGAGAGCAGGAGAAACCAAAGGATGGAGGCAACCAAGGATAGGGGGGTGGGGGGAGGATGTAACTCATTATTAATGTCCCTTCACTCCCCCTCAATCAGGGTCCACCCCCTTCAGACTAAGGCTTCCTCTGAAAACATTGGAAGGCTGGCAGATTTGGCTCGGAGGAGACACCACTCCCTTCATTCTCCTTTTTAATCTTCCTGCGCAGATACCCAAATCTCACTCCTGGTGGTTCCCAAGAGAGAAAAGACCCCCTCATCCTGCCCCAGGCATCATACTGCCAGTCCATCTGCTGGGGAGAAAGAAAGAAGGGGTAGAGCCTTTCCCAGGGGATTCTGGAAAATCAATTGGAAGAGCCAAGCTCCCAGAGAGATCCATCTAGGAAACTTGGAAGGCATTTTGGTTCACAGTGGAAACCCATGGCTTGGAGTTGAGCACCCAAGTGGGCTGATGGCGAGGGGTGGCGCAGTGGGGCGGGGTCTTCAGACAACTGTGGATCGGAGGCCAGCGGAGTTGCTTATCCGGTGCCCACCCGCCACCACGGGATGGTAGGCGCGCCCCCTCCCCGCTCCCAGTCTCACAGGCTCTGAGGCGCCAAGGCCCCCCCCGGGGCCGGGCCGGGCCGGAGAAGGTAATGTAATTCCGGCCCAGCTAACCTGATTATGGCGGCCTGCACCGGGCCGGGCGGCGGCGGGGGCGGGTCTAAGATACAGGGGCCCGCCCGGTGGGGGTCCCATCCCGAGGAAGACTTGGAGTTCACACACTTTCAGCTCCAGAGTCCGCGGCCAGAGGTCACAAGGTCACCGAGCTGCTCAAGTCTCTGTTCACCTCCCTTCTCCGCCACGCTCCAGGCGCAGTTTCTGGGGATCGGGTGGGCTGGAGGTTCTATGAGAACTGAGTTGGCTAAGATCCTCAGAAGTGAGTTATTCTCTGGCGATTTTGCCCTCTCACCTTTTCGGGGTAGGGGGCATGTGAGAATAGATTTCCATGGGGCGGAGGGGCAGAGTACTGCTGATGCTGCAGACCCCTGCATTTATGATGAGGCAGAACGCCGGGCCCGAGCTCCCACCGTCCTGAGCTGGTCGGAATTGAGTCACTGGTTCGCTTTGTTCCGATTTTGAAAAATTGAAATTCAAAGAAATATAGGGCACCAATTCCTGGCACGCCCGGATGGGGCTATGGAGCCCTTAGGGAGAGATTGGGAGGCGAACCCAGATCACTGGCCCAAATGGTTCATTCTTCTTCATAAGGCCACAGGACTCATCCTGCCATCCCCTTCCCACACCTGTCCTCTTCTCTGAGCCTCCAGCTGTCCAGGCGCCGTTCAACCGTTGCCTCCATCGCAGCCGGGAAGCTACAACGAGATTTGATTTTCCAGGGCATTTAGGCGCGCCCCACAACGAATCCGGGAGTCCGCATACAGGACCCATTGGGTGGCGAGTGGGGACTGAGGGAAGAGGCACCTGGCCGAGGAAGCCGATGAGGCTGAGAAAGTCCAAAGGCGGAGGCTGGCAGGGATGGAGGCGCCGTAAGCATCTTGGCTGACTCAGCGCAGAGTTCCTTCCTAACACTCTCTCTACCTCCCCCACCCCCATCCCCATGGGTCAGTCTTCCTCACGCTTGGCGCAAACAGGCAGTCTCTTTCCCTTTAACAGGCCCGGCCCCGCCCCTGCCCTACCCCCAGCCCCCACTGCCCACCCGGGGCCGATCTGTCAGTCACTGCTTCAGTCCGAGTTGGAGCCGGCCAACCCTCTCCACCCTGGACTCAGGCAGTGACCCGGTACCCCAGTGTCCAGCTGAGGCTGAGAGCCAGCAAGGGCACTCCTGGGGCCCCCGGCTGGCAGCGCTTCCCCGGAATGAGAGTCCTTGCTCAGACTGTGGATCTCGGAGCGCACGGGCGCGGCTGTTCCCTGTGCACTGGGATGCTACTGTCCCAGGGGCTCCAGCACCCTACGGTGGCCAGCCACTTAGGTCCCTGAGGCCGCCCTCCCGAGCGCTAAGCTGCTGGGCTCCCTGAGCTGCCCAGGACGCCCTCCCCAGCTGCCAAACCTCTTGAGGTGCTCTCTGACCCGGACCCATGGAGCCGGCAGTGCTGGCTCCGCACAATCTCTCGCACCACGAGCCAATCAGCTTCGGCATTGATCAGATCCTGAGCGGTCCCGAACCCCCGGGGGGCAGCTTAGGCCCAGGCCGTGGGAGCTCGGGTCACGGGGAGAATGCAGCGTTCTCGGGTGGATTCCACGGAGCCTCTGGTTACGGACCCGCAGGCTCACTGGCTCCATTGCCAGGCAGCTCCAGCATGGGCCCGGGCGGCGTGATTCGAGTGCCGGCTCACCGTCCGCTGCCTGTGCCTCCGCCCTCAGCAGGCACGCCCGCGGTGCCTGGGCCCTCGGGCTTGGGCGGCGCCGGGAGCCTGGCCGGACTCACCTTTCCCTGGATGGATAGTGGCCGCCGCTTCGCCAAGGACCGGCTCACGGGTGAGGTTGTCCGACCCCTCTGGCCTCAGGTCCCATTTTGAAACCTTTTCATCTCTGATCCTTCAGATCCCCTTTCATATGTTGCCACCAACCCACTTATCCCAGGGGATTCTCCCCCAACTAGATCTCTAGGTCCTTCCGCCCTGTAGGTGATGGGGAGGGAGCTGCTGTTGGTGCCTGCACCTCCCTCTGTAATCCCACTGTCCACACATCTGGGAGGACAGGGTGAAGTTCTGGGGGCTCTCTCCGTCACTCAAGGGGGAAGGCTGTTCTTCGGAGGCCCCTTTTGGTCTAGGGACCTCCCTCCATTGATGTGGGCTGAACTTGGGGCTAAGGAGCTCTGCGGCTTGAGCAACCGCACTGCTCTCTTCTCAGTGGCCCCCCACAAACTCTGCCCTGGTTCTTCGTCCTCCCCGCAGCCGCGCTGTCACCCTTCTCCGGGACGCGCCGTATAGGCCACCCCTACCAAAACCGGACCCCCCCGAAGCGGAAGAAGCCGCGCACGTCTTTCTCACGCTCACAGGTACTGGAGCTGGAGCGGCGCTTCTTGCGCCAGAAGTACTTGGCCTCGGCTGAAAGGGCCGCCCTGGCCAAGGCCCTGCGCATGACAGACGCACAGGTCAAGACGTGGTTCCAGAACCGGCGCACCAAGTGGCGGTGAGGCGTGGGCTAGGCGAGGGCGGGCGGGGCCCGCAGGCATGCCCAGGTGGTGGTGAAGCACTGGGTTGGCAAGAGAGGGCTGGGGTTCATGGGACAGGCCAGACCCAGCGGCAGCGAGGTCCAGAATCGCTGACCCCGTACCTCCACCCGCCCAGGCGCCAGACAGCAGAGGAGCGCGAGGCTGAGCGGCACCGTGCAGGTCGCCTTCTCCTGCACCTGCAGCAGGACACTCTGCCGCGGCCCCTACGGCCGCCACTGCCTCCGGACCCGCTCTGTCTGCACAACTCATCGCTCTTCGCTCTTCAGAATCTGCAGCCCTGGGCCGAGGACAATAAGGTGGCCTCAGTGTCTGGGCTTGCCTCGGTGGTGTGAGCGACGCCCGCTCGACCAGCCGAGCGCTCTGGACGGGACTGAGGGACACGTGGAGCTGGTGCGCCTGCCCCTCCTGTTGTCTCGTAGCTGCGGAGCTTATGTGGACCAGCCAGCCTTACAGCTAGCTATCCACTAGGGCTCCTCGGCCGTAGGGCCAGCTCCCAGGCGGACGTTGAGCCACCCTACCCCACGCCCTCCTACTTGGCCTTTCCCGCCATTTCTCTCAACGGCTAGTGCACAGGATGGAACCTGAGGCACAAAGTGGGTGGGAATTGCAGGTTGGTAGCCAATGAAGTGCTTGGAGGAATGACTGGCCAATGGGAGCTGCTCTCCTGAGAGACTTAGGTGATTAGCAGGTTGGATTCGTATCTCTGGTTTTGCTCCGGAGGCGGTGCCGACAAGAGGTGGCCGAACCCCAAAGCCGCTGGGTCTTTCAGAAAGCTGTGAAGAGAGGAAGGCGCCAAAGACAGCGGAGAAATGAAGAAGGTGCCTGGCCAGCACGCAGAGTCTGTCAGGAATCAGAGGGTTGTCTGCGCTGGGCATCTCATCCCTCTCTGTAAAATAATTGCTAAGGATTCTTTCCAGCAACAAAACTTTGAGCCTCATGTTGTGTATGTTCAGCCTGCAGACCACGTCCTCCTTCTTGATCCTCACAAAGCGCCTGCGAGGTAGGCCAGATAGATATTTATGTACCAACCGAAAGAGAAAATCTAGGAAAATGAATCTGGCTCGGGGACCTTCATAGAGTAGAGAGTAAGGGGTGGGTAGGCTAACTGGGCCCAGTGGAATTAGGGTGAGCAGAAATTAATAATTTGGAAGTGACAAGTTTAAGAAGTGTCAAAAATAATTCCATGGTTGCAAATGTGTTGAATGGGAAGTTGGAGCAAAATGAACTCTGTAGGCAAAACGTGATCTGTTGTTGTGTGCCCTAGAGTCAGTACCGACTCACAGAGACCCTGTTAGTGGGTTTGAATTACAGTTAGGAGTCCAGTGCTTATCCTACAGCCTACCAGGAACACTAACTTTACCCTCTTATGATAGTGGTCCTAGACCTAGAGAGAATAACTTCTGGAAAATACCTTTGGCTCACGGCTACCAAGCTTTCTAGCCAGTTTGGCCCCTGCTGAAAAGGTGCCTTTCCATCCCAGGTGATAAATTACCTGGGGAGCTGATTCAAATGTATATTCTGATTCAGTCTGTCTGGGATGGAAAGGCACATTCTCAGCAGGGAGTCAAATGAGAACAAACAGGTGCAAAGCCCTGCTTTGGTGGAGGTCACATTGTTGTTGTTTTTATTGGAGTAGGTTCTAACTTAGTGACCCTGTATAGATTTTTCAAGGAAAGGCTAGTGAACTTAAACTGCCAACCTTGATGTTCAAGCTGACCTTGTAGTCCAGCGCATTAACCCACAGCGCCATATCAAGAGGTCACATGGGGTGGAGATAGATGGAATGAGGAGAACAGAATTTCTAAGGGAGGGAACTCTGAAGAGGAAAGCAGAGTCCCAAGGACTTTCTTTCTACCAAATTCTACAAACATATTTACAATATTCATCATAATGGAGGATATCAAAGTTAATAGTCCAAGGGGAGTAAAGGAGTAGTGCCCGGCTTGAAAGAAAGGAGTTGTTGGAAAGACATGAGCTTGTGGGTAGGTCAGGGGCTGCTGGGAAGCTTGTTGGAAAGTTGAGAGTTAGGGGATGGTTGGAACAGACTCAAGATTGAAAACGAAGCAGGATTTAATGTCCTCATTTGTCTGAGGACAAAAGGAATTGTTTTGTCTAATCCTTATAGCACCCCCATTTCTTTCTCCCTTGGCAGCTGGAGCAATATGACAGAGAGAAATGAGCTACAGCCAGAGCCAGAGACCAACTATAGCCAAACTGCTTATGTTCTATGAACATGTTCTATCTTAGTGCAAAGGCTTAGCTAGAGGTAGGAACCAGGCTGGTGGCAATGACTAGAGGAGTCAGTTGAATCTTTGATGGAGTGTCATCTCTAACACATGGATGTTGTATATGGTGTCGCAGATCTAAACTCAAGTTTGGTGTCTTAGAGAAAACTTTTATAGAACAACAGAGAGCACAGGATGGATTTGGCTTAAGTTGGAGGAGGAGGATGTCACTTCTCATGTGGCGTTGCCGGTTAATGAGGTAAACTGCAATGTCGGTTTGGTCCATTAAGACCAGCAGTTCCAACTCACCAGCTGCTTCTTGGAAACTCTGTACAGGGTCGCTATGAGTCAGGTCCCGACTGGATGGCACTTAGCGACAACAAAGGAAAGGAAAGAGTCCTATACTACGTAGACTGTAGTTTCCCTCCACCCCATTCCCTCCACTCCCAGCCCATCAGTTCTTGGGAGTCAGGCTCCAGGATTTACACTTGACCCTAAACTTTGGGCTTCTAAATCTGGCTGCCTTGGTGCTAGCCCAAGGGAGGATCTAATGTGGGGAGATGAGGTCAGTTTCATTCCTTAGGCAGGTCACTGCAGGACACAGGCATCTCCGAGTTCCTGGGTAGAGGAGGATTCACTCCCTGCTGAAGAATCTGTCATTTCTTCCCTCAGCTGGTTCAGGAGGTCTCTGCTCTCACTTGGGGGTAAGTTACTTAGGAAGTACGGGGGTGCCAACTCCACCAGCCTGAAAGAGAAGAGTCATATTAGATGGTCTGTCTCCTAATGATATAGGCTCTTAAACTTCTCACCACCTCGCTACCCTAAAAATCATATGGTACATCACAAAGATGCACTCTTCGCAACTCCCCAGCCCTAATTTTGTCCCAGGGAGAGGAGTGGGCAGTTTAGGAGGGGTGTCAGGGAACTCACATCTGTGGCTGAATCTCAGAAACAATGGATAGGCAGTTGTCTTTGGAAATGGAGAAATTGTGGTAAAGCACCCAAGTTGGGGGTCTGGCTGGGGCCCTCCGGCTTCTGTAGCAGCAGTATGGGGCAAGCTGGGCCACATGCTTATGGGTTAAAAGCAAGTAATTTCCAGTTCCATCTGTGTCTCGGGCCACCTCAATGAAAGGAAATGATATTGAAGGAATATGTAAGCGGGAAGAGGCAGACAGTAGGACAAAAGAAAAGAGGGATGAGAATTAGTAAGCGTGGGAAGAGTAACAAAAGTTTTATCTCTAAGTGCTTTGTAGTCCCCACCATACCATATGGCACTTCCATAGTGTTTTTAGCCCCCAAAATTAAAGGAAAATCTCTCCTGGTTCCCCAGAATCCCTTGAATAGCTACCTGGACCCTAGTTTTAGAGATGGCATGCCAATATTTGCTCCCTCTGCTTTTGCTCCTTTTATACCCTCATCACTACCCTTTCCCCTAACCTTGAGGAAGTATCCTGACACCAGTGCTTTCTGAAGGTCTCTGCGGTTCTGCTCAGAGCCAAAGGCTGGCTGGGACAAAGGAAGTTCAATTCGCTGCATGAGTTCTAGGAGTTCTCCTCGAAGTTTACGGGCTTGACACAATGCTGACCAGTTTAGACCCCGAGCCTGACACCAAGCCTCATCCTCCCCACCTAGGAGAGGAAAGGGGCCAGCTACAATGAAAGACCCCGAGACCCATGAAAGAACCCAACTCTTGGCCACAGGGCCTCCTCCCTTCTTGGTACAGAGGTCTGTCAGCTGGTTGCACACCACTACCCGTCTTTGGGGAATCTGGAGTTCCATAAGAGGGTGTAGAGTGAGTCACTCACTCTGTACAAAGGCGTCATACACCTGGATGAGAGAGCTATGGTCACCATCCGCGTGCTCCAGGGCACGGCGCAGAGCGGCTTCTTCAGCACAGAGCGGAGGACGGGTAAACCCAGGGGCAGCTGGAAGCAGAAGAAATGAAGGTCATTTTGGGGGAATCAGAAAGAATTACAATACAGTATTTGGAGAAGGTATAATTCTGAAGAGGTAGAAGTGTCTCTTTGGGAGCTTTATTCAAAACACATTGATAACCACAAGGAGCCATGCACTTTTATTAGACACTGAGGATAATTAAAGACTGTCTCTGCTCTCAGAGTCTGCTTAGAGAGTGGCAGGAAAGACGAACAAGTAAGGAAACTTGATAAGCATGATGTAGTGGTACTCTGAAAACAAAGGAGGAATATCTAATTCAGGCTTTGGGTCAGGAAGAGGGTGATGTGGAAGAAAAAGAAGAGGACCCTAGGGCCAATATATAAAGCCTGATTATGAGTTAGCTCAGTGGCAAAGGGGGTGGGACAGAGAATATTCTAGACTGCAAGAACAACACGTTGCAGAACTAATATCAATGTGGGGAACTACAAGTTACTCAGTATGGATGGAAGGAATGGCCTGTATGTAGAATGGCAGGAGGTAATGTTAGAGAGCTACCAGCTTTAAGTATAGGCCAGGCCATAAAAGGGTTCTTTATAGCACTGTAGGATTCAGCACTGGACTGCAAACCTCACAGTCAGCAGTTCAAACCCACCAGCTGCTCCTCAGAAAGAATTTACATTCTGTCTTGCAGAGTTGAAATAGAGGTCTTCAGTAAGCTGTTTCAAAAAGCTGATTAAGGAATCCAGCTGAGCAGTGATAAGGATCTAAGGCTCTGCTGGCCAGGAGAGTGAAGAGGAGCAGGTGATTCAGATTAGGAACCTGGAGAAAGCTTGACGGTGCTATCTGAAACTCAGAATGCAGTGGAAGGAAAAGATTTGGTGGTGGTGAGGAGGCAATCTATGAGTACACACTAATTTGAGGTATTGTGGACTATTCTGCCAGAAATCAGAAATCAAATATGTAAATGTAAGAGTCAGAAAAATGGGATTGTCAGAGAGATACAAAGTTTGGAAGTTTTATGTATAAAGGTTGCAGCCCAAACCATGGATGTTGAGCATGCTGTGGGTGTTCAGGGATTGAGAAGACAATGAGACAAGGTTAGGATGCTTACGACCAACTGACAGTGGATGGGCAAAGGTCCAACAATCTAAGGAAGAGATTAAGGGAATGGTCAGAGAGGTAGGATGAAAGTACAAAGAGCAATATCACAGAGGCTCAGGAAGGGGCAGCTTCAAGGTGGGAATTGGTCAACACTCTCAAATGTCAAAAGTATAAAGAATGAGTCACTGCCATCAAGTCCAATAGGACAGAGTAGAACTGCTCTGTAGGGAGTCCAAGACTAAATCTTTATGAGCGCAGAGAGACTCATCTTTTTCTCATGGAGTGGCTGATGGGTTTGAACTGCCAACCTTGTGGCTAGCAGCTCAATGCTTAAACCACAGCACCACCAGGGCTCCTTTAATGAAAAATATGGGCTCTGAAGTGTCCCCTGGATTGGGCATCTAGGAGGTCACTGGTGCGCTTAAAGGTTTCAGTGTGTGGTAGGTCCTGAAGGTGGAAAGCAGTGTGCAAGGAATACATCAGACAGAAAAGGATAGAGATTAAATTGGGGCTGGGGAAGAGGAGTGTGAATTTTACAATAGATGAGAGAGATGTAAGTATATTGAGGGGCAAGAATCAGCAGAGAAAAGCCTAAAGGGATAAGAAAGGAATAAAAGATATAAGCATGGTGAAGGGTGGGCACTTTAGGCACTGTGAAGGGTGGGTGCCAGGGAATGGAGGAAAGGGGGAGTCTGAGGAGCAGCGAAATCCAGAGGGACAGGTCTTAGTGGCTGCCAGAGCCAGAGAGAGGGGCTTTATACCAGTGAGCATGGCTGCAAGGGTGAGCATTTCAGCCACACAGTCAAACTCGCAGGCGGCCAGCAGGGCTTTGGCCAGTTCAGGGGGCAGGGGGAACTCGGAGAGGATGATTCCCAGGTCTGACAGGTTCCCATCATCATCCAGGGCAGCCAGGTAGTCTAAGTCTTCCAGTGCCTGCATCAGTGCTTCTGGAGCTGGTGAGGAAACAGAGCTTACATAGCCGGAGCCTTCAGAGCCTGGTACTCAGACAACAGGACATGGGCAGGAGGTTGGCTCACCAGGTCGGTCCAGGAAGTGGCACTCTCTAGCCTCTGCAATCTGTCTTCTTTTTAGTAGTAACACCAGGGGGCTCAGATTCTCCTCACAGACCCTGGGTTGGGGCATTGGGAGAGCCTCTAGTTCTAGGAAGGACTTAGGATACAGACAGATGCAGGACCCTGATGGGACAAAGACCTGGGAAAGAATACTGCTGCACATTTCTCAGGCTTGCATGTTGGTGACTCATCTCAGGGTTACTCTCCATGAGGGTAAAGGCTCTTACCTGGTGGGAACCCTCTTGCCCGCACTCGTCTTGCCTCTGCCTGACACTTGCTGATGGGCCGCAACTCTTGGGATTCCGCTCGGATCTGAGGATTGTAAACCTGTCCCCCAACCCCACAACCCAAGCCAAGACAGATCAGAGTGGGCCATTTCTAGCCTTACCTCCACAGCCCCCCTATTTCTCTCTCACTCACACTCCGAAGCTCCAATCCTGAGTCAATGACATGTCGGATGGAAGGGAGGGAGAAGGAAAAATCAGCCAGCCAGTGAGTAAGCACGACTTTTCGGGTACCTGCTTCTATGTCCTCATACACAGCCTGAACAGCTTGACCACAGCCTGGGTGAAGGGGCAGCAACAGTGGGGAAGGCCCTCGGGGGTCCAGGAACTGCACTTCCCTGGACAAGGATTCATAGCACAGGGAAATTTCCTGTGGAGAAGGATGGGACATTAGGACGATTTTCACTTTTTGGGGTCACAGACTCCTTTGAAGAATTGATGAAAGTTATGGCTCTTCCTTTCACCCTGAAAAATGTACATACTCATAAAAATTGGGTGTGTTATAATTTCAGGGGTTCACTGAATCACAGATCTCTTCATTATAGGGAATAAAAGAGATTGGATTCCATTCCCTGAGCCCCTAGTGTTTTTCCTCAAAAGAGGCCCCCAACAAAGAGTAAATACTCCAACTGCCCCAGGATGGGAATATGGCATACTTGAGTACCCATGCAGCCCAATTTTTTTTACCTCCTCACTGGGCAGGTACACTAACACGTCACCTGGAGACTCCTCTTGGCACAACTCAAGCACAGCCTGGCAGGTGGCTTCTACCCGGTCAGCAGGGACAGCATCCCTGTAGATGACGGTGGGACTCCCACAAGGCTCACTGGGGACATGGACAATAGGAGGATTGCCCCAGAAGTTTTGGAGCTTGGGTTCAAGAGCTGGGTTAGTTATCACAACCACTCTGGTGTCCCCTGGGAGGTTTCCCAGCTTGGCATCTCGCAGCAGCCCCTGGAGTGAGTCTGAGGCCACTGACCGCTCTTGAGCCTCATCCAACACTAGCACACCCCAGGCTTCAGTGCCCCGGGTTGAGGCCACCTCCTGCAGGAGCAGCCTGTCCCAGCAGAACCTGTTGACATTGGTAATGAGCAAAGTGGTCAATATGGACACTGGCCAACCCTACAAGTCCAGTGAAACTTCTCCCCCAGGGGACCTAGATTTCATAGGGAATGTCAGAAACTCTTGAGACTGACTTCTTGAGTTATGGCCCCATTAACAGTTTCCCCCACAGCCCCACTGAGAACGCTTTGTTCACAGGTTGTGCTCCTGCTGGAAAAGCAATATTTTCATGAATGTCTGAGGTCCCTGGGTGGGATTAAAAGTGCTTCACTGAGCAGTTGCATCCTGCCTGATTGATTTCAGGAGTGGGTTGGGCTGAGTGAGATGAGAGGTGCTAATTTACAGAGTGAGGGAGATTTGATTTGGGTCAGACCTGCAGGAGGCCACACCTGAGCAGGGTGTCCGGTCCAGTGCAGTCCTCCTGGGGGATGCTGTATCCAACCTCATGACCCACAGTCAGGTCCATCTCGTCAGCAACCCGAAGGGCCAGGCTTAGTGCTGCCAGAGGGTAGGGCTGAGTTACAGTTACCTGGCCTTTCTGGAAGCCCCTGGCCAGTGCAAACTCTGCACACCATTGAGGGATCTGGGATAGGGAAGGACAGTTAGAGAGACGAAGGACTTTAGTCAGACAGGCCAGGGTAGCTATGGCCAATTTAATCTCATGAATGGGGATTCCCCTGGCCTTTCACCAACCACACTGGAGTCAACCCAATTCACTTTTCCCTTCACCCATCTCCCCCATGACCACACACAGCCAAGCACCCCTTGCCCAGGGAAGGGATGGCTTCCCAGCCCATCTCTTTGTCCACTCCCAGAATCTCCCCAACCTGGGTGCTCTTGCCAGAGCCAGGCTCCCCAGACACCAACACCACTCCACTGGGGCTACTCTCCAACTGCTCCAAGAAGATAAAGCGAGCAGCCCAGATAGGCAAGGCTCGGCGCTGCTCAAGCAGCTCGTAGTAGCGGGAAGAGAAGGGGAGTCCATCAAAGGGGTTCACAGCCAGTTCAGACTCACGAGGGCTTCGGCTGGACTCTTCTGCCAGCCCAAGGGCATATGAGGTCATGGTGGATCGTGGGTAGGACCTACAGAAGGCAGGGCAGCCTCATATTTGGCACCTGACACAGCTTTCCCTTCAGTCCTGATCCCTAACTTCTACCCTAGGTGATAATGCTCTGGGTTCCATCCTTCTCAGCACTGCTTCCATGTCAGGAAACTGTGCTGGGTCTCCCAAGTGAAAACCCAAAAACTCCAACTCACTGCTGTCATCTCTAATTCCAATTTATAGTGCCCCATAGGGTTTTTAAGGCTGTGAACTTTACAGAAAGGAGCCCTGGTGGTATGGTGGGTTAAGCATTGACTGCTAACTGAAAGATTGATGTTTCAAACCCACAGCTACTCCTTGGGTGAGTTTGTTTGCTCCTGAAAAGATTTACAATCTTGAAAACCTTATATTGGATCGCTCTGAGTTAGAATCCACTTGATGGCATTTGGCTTAACCTTTACAGGAGCAAACAGCCACATCTTTCTCCAGAGGAGCAGATGGTAGGTTCAAACTGCCAAACTTTTGTTGCTAATGCGGGGGAATCTTAGGGGCAGCAGGACCAAAAGAATCCCGGATTCAAACCTGCTTGCAGTTCGAGACGTGTCAGGATGGCAGCCAGTTCCAGAAGATAACCAGCTAACTGCCACCAAACCTGACCTGCATAAAGTACAAAGGTAAATTCCGGCTCCACCCTGGGACTTGTCTCAAACACGAATCCTAAAGCCTGGTGTTAGGGTGGTGCCATTTGCTCCACCTTCTCTAACTTCTTCTGAAGCCTATGGAAAACAGGCCTTTAGCCATCACACTGAGCATGTGTGAGCCCTATACATGACGTGTATTATGATAGTGAATGGCATCTTGGGACTTGTAGTTTTGTAGCTGTTCCTTCACAAACCCAGGGTAAACACCTGTGCAGCTGGGATCCAGTTGCTGCTGGGTTTTCAGTTGAGTTACACTTTTTTAATATCATTCATCTCTTGGCCATGAGGTGATTTCAGACACTTCCTTTCTGACCAACCATTAACTCACAAGAAGGTGATCAACCTCCCCCCACCCCCCTAGTCAAAGAAAAAAACCTGCTCGGGGAGTTTTTGAAACCCAAAGAGGCAACGGAGACATTGAATGAAAACCCTGAATTTAATGTGATATTGGGGGCACCCCATCCCTCCCTTGACACCACCCACCCAGTCAGCTTGTAGTGAGTTGGGTAGGGGCTGCCCCCAGTCTCCGTCCTGCGGCTCTGGGTGCCATCCTGTTCCTCTGAGCTCAGTCAGCCTCCTGGGCCTGTCTCTCTGTGAATCTCCTGTGAGACATGGGGAGAAGACATTGTGTGGGCCCTTCTAGCTCCATGATTCTCCAGCCTGCCCCTTCCTGCGTCTTCCTCTATCGTCCTCACCTTCTTGCATATTCATAAAGTGCCTGCTTGCGTTCCTGCAGGCTCTCCTGCCGGGCCCAGGAAGACTTGGCAAAAGTTAGGGCTGTTGGCTGAGGGGTCACCGGGCCAGAGCTGGGGAACTGAGGTGATCACAATGTCAGAAGGCTTGCGAAGTCATCATCATTAAACACGCATCGAGTGCCTACTTTGCAAGAGAGGCACTGTGCTAGCATCTCAGGATCAAAAAAGAGAGGTCAGGGATAGGGAGCATTAGGGTTTCCCTTTCCCTTCTACCCCCAGTTTTGGACTAGGCGCTGTTTTGGGGTCTCACCTTGGGGACAGAGGCAGTAGGAAGGGACTGAGTCCCCTCAGTGATGTCTTCAGGCATGAAGGCTACAGCCCCCTCAAGTAGATTAGTGATGGTCAAATCTACACAGCCAGTCCTAGCTGGGAGGAAGGGACAAGAGAAAAAGAAAAGGGTAGTCTGTTCCCATTCTCTCCTCACAACCCCTTGTCTCCTTGTGTGAGGTCATCCTTTCCCATACCCAGGTCTCTTTGGATGACGCCCAGTGGCACATGGGGCAAAACCTCCTTGACTCTCTGAGCCAAAGTTGACAGCTGCACATCAGGAGAAGAGCCAGGGGAGGGAGGGAAAGAAGACTGAGCTGTAGAAATAAAAAATAAAAAAAGATCAGAAATAGGGTTGAGTTACAGAATTGGGAAGCAGAGGAAGCTGACTAGTACAAGAATAGGAAAAAATTCACAGTAGGGTGAAAAAACAGAAGTTTTGTGTATAAGACCAAACACCTGACTGAGGACGTAATCTGGGATGTCTTTGTCGCTTCATGTGCTCTGCTTTATCTGCTGGAGTGAGCCGTGTCCCTGTCTGGCCCAATTCCTTGGCCACCAGCTAAGAAGAATCAGAAGGTTTGAAGTGTCAAGATCTGAGGCCTCAAGCCTTCTTTCCACCTTCTTCTAAGGAGAGACCTCGCCTCCACCCTGCTAGTGTACCCCATCACCTGTTGTACCCGGAAGGCAAACTCCTCACTCCCCTCCCCCAGCTGGCGATGAACAGGACGGAGCCACCTGTGAAAAACAACCCAGGGCCACGTTGGGGGCACCAGGGTAGACATTGTCATCGCTTTCCCTCTATTGGTACCTCTTCATGAGCAATGGGGTGAGGGTGGGAAGACAGTACAGACCATGTTGCAGGTGGAGTGCAACTTTGATATTTAAAGGTCTGTAAATGGAGGGCAGAGGTGTTCACTTCCTTGACTGTGAAGTGAGCTTCTCCCCAGCCACCAAAAAGTGAGGATAGTTAGTACCTTACTTGATACACGGTAAAAGGGACGAAAAGTGACCACAGCAGTTCTGAGACCCAGGAGGCATCTGACACCGTCTGAGGGGAGGGCATGAAGTGAGGCCTGAGCCAGGGCAAGGAGTAGGAAACATCCCCTCTGCGCCCTAGAGATTACTTGTCCAGCACACACTCACCACAGAGACCAGGGGTCTCTGAACTTGTAGAGTAAGAGGCTGTACAACATCATGGATAGAAAATGGCCAGGAACTAGGAGAAAAAGTAAACAGTAGGATAGAAGTTCAGTCGGCAGCTTCCACCTGACTTAAAACATGAAACCGTCCAACTACATAGGTGGGGTTCAGAGGGACTCGGGGGACGGAGGGTGAGCTGACAAAGTGAAAACCCACGGGCCTCCAAGCTTGACCCCTAGCCCATTTTAGTGCCCAATACCTACCTGAAGTGCAGGAGCCCCTCCCGGCCATTGGTGGCCTCCTCCTCAGGGAATAGCAGTAGAGGGGTCGGGGGAAGCCTCGTGGAAGCACAAAATCTCTTGAGTGACTCCACTAACTCCCCCCGCCCATCCAACTCCATGAAGCCCCGGGACCAGCATACAAAGCTGGGAGGACTATTGAGCAGAGGCTGGGAAGAGAAAGGAGGGAGAACAAGAATAGAGAGAAATGAGAAAAACTGCTGTATAAGGTAGAAAAGTGGGGTTAGGGTAGGGGTCAGTCTCTCGTGGTCCTCAAGGGAAACCTGAGTAGGCGGGGAGAGGGAAGCCCTGAGCTGGGCCCTAAGGGAGCCGCCCCCGGGGTGTTCTTGGTCTTAGTCACCACTCACTGTGCTACAGCTGGTGAGCAGGTTGACTATGTTGTGATCGAAAGGTGTCACGTGGTTAGAAATGAGGACTCTGGTGCGGTGATCTCTGAGTCCGGAGTCCTCCTGACGGACCACGAGCCCCAGCACGGCACACATGGTTCGCACCACGAACCTGGAGACGTAGGCAGTGGTGACTGCGTGGCCTTGGGCCGGGTCCAGCCCTGACCCTCCCCGAGAACCCGGGTCAGAACCTGCGGAAGACGCTGTCTGGCAGCGCGCAGCTGACCAGGAAGACGTGGATCCCGAGAAACAGTCTCAGGACGAGAAGACAGAACCCGACGGGCGCATAGAGCAGCAGCGCGAGGAGCAGAAAGCCATCACCCGGGAGCCTGTGGGCGAAAGGCGGGATGATCGGGCGCCGAAGTCGAGGGGATGTTGAACTCGGCCTCTTTCTGTCTGGGCTCTTACCGGTGCGAGTCAAAGAGCCGCTCCGGCCCCGGTGCTGGGGGAGGTTCCATAGCTGCTGTTTTAGGGGTGTTCAGCCTCTGCCGCCGCCATCTTCACGCCCCGCCGCAGGGGCTCCTGGGAAGGCGGAGTCTTCGGGCATCCGCCCAGGGTGTCCGAACCCGAAATCCAATAGAGGTGTCTCAGAAGGGCAAGCGGTCCCAGCATGCCCCGCGGCCCCTTGGGCCACCCCGGAACTCTCGTTTCACGGGAACCACAATTCCCAGCATTCATGGGGGCGGAGGCGGAGTTGACTCTTGGAATCCTGGGTCCCGTCGTGCACTTCTAGAGGACTTCAGGTACCGGCGTGCCACGCGTTCCGCTTGTTTAGTCCTGGGCACCGCCTCTGAGTAGGGCGGGCGAGGAGGCTGCTGAGGCGGAGTGGATGGCTGCGCTGAGGGCGGGGCGCAGAGCAGGCTGGAGCTTTCGAGGATGGCGTGCTTTGGGGGGGATTCACTGGGGAAAGAGGTCCCTGTTGACCCCTGACTTCCGGGCTTTGCTGACGTCAGGAACTTCTGACCCTCGGGGCCGGGTGACGTATGAGACCCCCAATCTCCGGACCCAGTTGTCTGCAGGGGTCCCTGAAACCCGGCCATGTTTAACGCCGGTGACCCGGGATCCCCGGACATGGTTGGATACGGAGATCGCGGATCCCCGGAATCGGGAAGCCTCAGGGACCCTTGGGACCCGTTCGCGTGTGTGGCTGGTGGTGGCGTTGGGCGCCGGGGTGGCTGTGCTTTTGTTGTGGGGCGGGGGCCGGGGCCGGGGTTGTCCTGCTGTCCTCGCCGCGGTCTCTGGACCGCCGCCCACCTCTCCCAGGAGCCAGTACAACTTCATTGCTGACGTGGTGGAGAAAACAGCACCTGCCGTGGTCTATATCGAGATCCTGGGCCGGTAACTGTGGGCTAGACCTGGAGCGGGGAGGCGGGCGAACAGAGGGACCAAAGTCCCTTGCCACCACGGTTTCCCCCTCTCTCAGGCACCCCTTCTCCAGCCGCGAGGTCCCTATTTCAAACGGTTCAGGATTCGTGGTGGCTGCTGATGGGCTCATCGTTACCAATGCCCATGTGGTGGCAGATCGGCGCCATGTCCGTGTGAGGCTGCCCAGCGGCGACACGTATGAAGCCATGGTCACAGCTGTGGATCCGGTGGCAGACATTGCAACCCTTAGGATTCAGACTAAGGTGAGGGTCAAGGTAGCCCAGGTGTAACTGGAGCTGAGAACTTGCATACATAGCCAATTGACAGGTCTCTTGGGCCCATTCTCCCTTAGGAACCTCTCCCCACTCTGCCTCTGGGACGCTCAGCTGATGTACGGCAAGGGGAGTTTGTAGTTGCCATGGGAAGTCCCTTTGCTCTGCAGAACACAATCACATCGGGCATTGTCAGCTCTGCTCAGCGTCCAGCCAGAGACCTGGGATTGCCACAAACCAATGTGGAATACATCCAGACTGATGCAGCGATTGATGTGAGTACTGATATGAGAGAAATGACAAGCTAGGAAGGGGGTGGGAGGGAGGCTGTGTGCTACATGGTGGATAGCTTGAAGAAATGTATTCACTTATTCAGGGGCTGGGAAAAGACAGGATTTGGAGAATGTCAACACTCTAGGTATGTCTCTAAGCTTGGAGTCCCAGGGTCTCTTCCATGTTTTCTCCTTGTCCTACAGTTTGGAAATTCTGGAGGTCCTCTGGTTAACCTGGTGAGTGCAATATCATTCCAAGAACCCCTGTCCCAGGTTAGTGTGGTAAGAGTCAATTCTCCCTCATTCAAAGATGTTTGGTCAAGTTTTTGAGTAGTCTTTTGCTGGCTATCTCCCAGTATCTAGCCAGATCTCCCTAATACTCCCTGCTACTCTTGTTCAGGTGCCCCCACCCCCTACTGTTTGTTTGGGCTAGGAAACAGGGGCCTGTGTCCCTGCAGGATGGGGAGGTGATCGGGGTGAACACCATGAAGGTCACAGCTGGAATCTCCTTTGCCATCCCTTCTGATCGCCTTCGAGAGTTTCTGCATCGTGGAGAAAAGAAGAGTGAGCTTGATTTAAGGGAGAAGGGAGTTACTTTAAGTGTTTGGTGGAATAGAGGGGAGGGAGGGTTATTCATTGGGACTTGCTGGGAAAAGGGTATGTTGGGAGGAGAGGGAGGCAGAAGGATACAGCTAGGTGAGGCTTATTTCTCTTATCTTAGATTCCTCGTTTGGAGTCAGTGGGTCCCAGCGCCGCTACATTGGGGTGATGATGCTGACTCTGACTCCTAGGTATAGTGACATGTAGGACCACTGGTGGGCAACTGGCACCCCTATTGGGCTCTTACCCCCTTTGTTTCATATACCTGCAACCAGATTGATTTTACCTGTTACTGCTTTGACTTAAAAGCCTTCAATCCCTTAACCTGGATTGAGTTTCAAGGCCATTTTCCACCGGTTTTTAACTCAACCTCTCTGACTTACTTCCTATATGAATATTGTTCAAGCCTGACTTCCTACTGTTATTATTTATGCTGTTCTTGTTTATATAGTTAAGTATCAGATTCATCTGATATTAAGTCTTACTGTCTCCCAGAGTTTCTTTTAGGACTCTAGAATAACATTTGTGCCATTGATTTAACACTTCGTATCACCTGGAATTACTTATCTTTAGTGCACATGTCTCACTTCCTAATTGCTCGAAGACAGAAAGTGAATGAATTGCCTTTGTGTTGGTACTACCTAGCACATGTCCCTGCCATAGAGCTCTTAGTGTGTTGGTGAGTCTTAAGGTAGACCCAAGACAGGGCAAGCCCCTGAGTGTGGCTAATAGGATGATCTTTGTCCTTTTAGCATCCTCGCCGAACTTCAGCTCCGTGAGCCAAGCTTTCCCGATGTTCAGCATGGTGTGCTTATCCATAAAGTCATCCTGGGCTCCCCTGCACACCGGTGAGGATGAGACTGTACTGTGGGGGTGGGCACATGTACATTTAAGCTGGGCTGTACACCCCCTTCTTTCTCCCTAGGGCTGGTCTACGGCCAGGTGATGTGATCTTGGCCATTGGGGAGCAGCTGGTTCAAAATGCTGAGGACGTTTATGAAGCTGTTCGAACCCAATCCCAGCTGGCAGTGCAGATCCGGCGGGGACCAGAAACACTGACCTTATATGTGACTCCTGAAGTCACAGAATGAGTGGATCAGCAAGCGTCTGAGGCTCCTGCTCTGACCTCTTCCCCATCTTCCTGGCCTAGGCTCCTAAGGCAAGTTGGCAGAGGATGAAATGAACCAGTGGGGGCAGGCTCCTCCACTACCACCAATCCCTGGGTTCTGAAGACTCACAAAAACACTTTTTATATAAAATAAAATTATATCTAGCAACATGTTGTAGTCAAAACAAAGGGAGGGGGCTGGATGTTTTCCTCCATCAGAAGGCTAGAGGTAAGGCTGTACCCCACTCTGAACTGAGAGGAGATACTGGAGCTGACTGTCCTGATCTCCCTATTCAAGATAATTCGCTGCTGCCGTCTGTCGTTATGGACAGTTAGTTAGGTGCTGCTGCTTTGAGATGGGCTCGGCTTGGTGCAGGGCCTGGGCGCAAACAGCTGGCCTAGGAAGGAGAGCAGTAATGTCTGCTTGACAATTCCACATCCATAGTGCGCAAGGGGGAGTGCAGTGAGCCTGTTGACTTCAGGGGTTCCTTGGTAAGTTCCTGAGGTAATGGCAGCCTCAGGCCCCTCTCATTAGGGGCCAGTGGTGGTTTGCAGAGGAGAACGGTGGCACCTTAGATGATCTGGTTGTTGGTCTGGCCAGGGTAGCGCTCAAATCTCCTGTTGGCCTCTTCACTGAAGGCATCACCTGCAGAGTGAACAGGTGGTGTGGGCAGCGCTCTGGGCAGAGGCAGGAAGACAGTCATTTTAGGGAAGGGTGGGTAGAAATGAAGAGGCCGAGAAACCCAGAGGTAAGTGGGAAAATAGGTAACTTAATAAAAGACCACCAATGCCTTCCCCCTTCTCCTCATTCATCAAATACCGATGTGGCAGTTGTGCACCCAGATGCGATGTCCATCATATTTGCAGTTGCATTTCATTGCGTTGTTGGTGAAGTCACTCTCTGCTACTTCAAAATTTGGATTGATGACTACCTGTGAGGGGAGAAAGGCCATTTTACCCAGCTGTAGTCTTCGAATCCAAAGGTGTCCCTAACATACCGCCCACCTGTCATCTGGACATTGCAGGACCCAGGCACCTGTAGAATGTAGTTTCCCGGCTTTACGTCTGTGATGTCAATCCACTGACAGTCGATGTCATGCCGGTAGAGATCCCAGCACCCCACGGTGATGCCCTGCTCTCCAAAGTTGGCACATTCATATCTCTTGGAGACATCTGAAAGGTTTGGTATGTGTCAGAGTAAGGAAAGGCTAAGGGCTGGGGACACCATAGTCCAGGTTAGGTCCCAACTCACCCTCCTGACATTCCGTGTCTTCTAGACAGAAACTAGCTTTATGGCCCTCAGCCACCTTGGTGCCATTGGGGGTCAGAATATCATAATGAGTGAAGATATCCATACTGTGGTAATGCCTGTGGGGACAAGGGACAAAATGATTGTTTCTTCTGTGTCTGTCCAGTTTCTGTGCCCTTGCCCTTCTGCTTGATCCCCTCTCCTCTCACCCATGACACTCGTGCCACACCCAGGAGTGGCGCCCAGCCTTGGGCCTGAAGTCAGCTCGTCCCAGGTTGTGGATCTGGGAGGAGAATCGGAGCAGACGTCGGTGGCCATAAGGCCAGTTGGCTGAGCGGGCTGAGCGGGCCAGGCAGTTCTCTTCAGCAGCACAGTACAGCATGTGCAAGGGTCGGTCCTCGATGTAGGCCGTCTCCTGCACCAGTGCTGAATGCAGCAGTAGGTCAGAGGCAGCTGCACCACAGAAGGAAGGAAGGAGTGTGTTAGAAACCACTGCTGTGGAGTGACAAATGGCGGTACTTCTGTCCTTGCCAGGGTGTATGAGGCTAATTTTTCCATGGGGAATATCTTCTCCAGATTTCAACCCCCTTTTTCCTTACAAAGGGCTGGTCCAGACCTCCCTTCCCTGGCCTACCCTAAACTCACTCTCAGAACAGATGACTCCAGCAGTGAACCGGGTCCCTGGCCTCTTACAGGCAATGTGGGTGCCATGATGGGCACATTGGTCCAGGGAGAGTTCAGTCCCTGTGCAGCGCACTCCACTCATCACCACCTCTGTTGTATTCCCTGAGTCCCAGTACCAGGTCTCCTGAGAACATAGGTAGATGTTTGCTTGAGGTTCCAGGAACCAGCCTCTAAGGCCAAGGGGTCATTTTCACATGCATCCACTGCAAGCAAAGGCTTTGGAGGCTTTGCCTCCCCTCTCCTCATTCCTAATCACCTGTAGGCCGTGGTTGGCGTAGCCCAGACCAAGTTGTCTACAGGCCACCATAGCTTCCAGTGTCCCCCAGTCATCGCCACAGATGAGACCCCAGTGCAGGGACCCTGGTGCTCCAATTTGTACTTCAACTCGTCCTTCATATCGGCTGCGCCCTCCACTGAGTCGGATCTGTGGCGACACAGAATAAAAGTGCCAAGGGAAGCTTTTGGGGTGGGGTAGGAATGTACCAGTTATTCAGAGGCACATAAAGGACTACCAGGCGATGGGACCAGGCAGGAGCTGCAGGGTGGCAGGACCCAGGTATAATGGGGCTGGGGGCATTAGACTGCAGGTTGGAGCCCAGACTGGCAAGAATGAGTGGCACAGACCTGAACCAAGGAGGATAATATGACTGACCTTGGCCTCCACCCCAGTGTAGGGAAGGTTGCATCGGACCGCAGCATCCTGGTTGTGGGAGCAGTCCTCAGCTGTGATGTTCTTATGGGGACATTTCCAGAGGGACGGTTCTTGTCCAGAACATCGCACTTCACTTAAGTGGATGGCACCCATGCCTAAAGCCACACATCAGGAGGTTGTAACTGTTCTTTCGCTGCCTGCCTAGGCATATCCTAACTCTCCCTCAGCCTGGGAGTGTATACCTCCACCTGCGTGCTCCCACCCACTCCCATGCCTCCTCACCCTGCCCCATACGGGCACCGCTCAGAGCCTCTCTAGCACTCCCGAAGCCCAGTTCCCGACACACCACGCTGGCTGCGTGGAGGTCCCACTTGCGGTCACAGACTGTGCCCCATGTGCCAGTCTTCAGGACTTCCACTCGGCCCTCGCCAGGATGGGCTCCACCCTTTAGACGCACACGGGCCTACAGAGGAGAGAGAGGCGCCCACATCACTGAAGGGAAATATGGGTCCAGAGAGGGCTAGGCAGACCTGGGCGGCGAAGGGCAGTTGATGGAGCAGTAAGGGCAATGTCAGGTCTGTGCCCCACCCCTTGGAAGGTTCCTCTAGGTCTTCAAAGGTTAGGGCTGAGCCTAGTCATGGGGTGGCCAGGCCAGGGGCTTCTCCATTTGGGCTAGGGATGGTCATAGTAGTCACTGTCACACACCTCCCCCTGCTGCTTGGACTGCTGTTTCTTCTGGCCATTGGATGCAGCATAGAGCGGGCCTGGCACACAGCTTACCACCACAGGCACCCCCCCAGGGCACCTGATGGTATCATTGGTGCGATAGAACTCCAGGGAGCAGAGAGAGAGGTGGGCCTCAGTGCCCACGCACGCCACCCCGTGCAGACCAAAGGAGTGTTGCTGTCGCTGGGCCAGCAGCCTAAGGGGACAGGAGTGGGGGGTACTAGGGTAAACAAATGCTCCTGCCTTTCTGCCCACAACCTGCCACCCACTCCATTTCTCCCCACTCCCAACCTCTCATGACCACTCTCTCCCTCCCTCTTTTCTCTGTCGCTTCTAAGTTTCCCTTCAAAGAGACAAAGGAAATGCCAAGTTTTTAGTTTAGACTACTCAGACAGGAGGGCCCTTAGGGACTTTTGGCAAAAGAACCCAATGGGAATGGTGGCTGTCTTTATTTGCTTGACAGCAGCCTTGTTCCAAATGGTTTCTGGCCTTTGGCCCTGACAGAAGTCGAGGCTAAAACTGCTACAGAGATAAAGGGGTTCAGGACTGCCCAGCTGAATGAGATGGCCAGGGGGGAATGGCTGACACAAACAGGAAGCCAGAATGAGAAGATCCTTCTATTACGCTGAGACCAAACTAAGGGAATGAGTCTGGATACAAAGGAGTAAGCAAATATTGCATCTGAATGGCTTCTCAGGTCAGATAGGATTCTAGGCCAGAAACTGCAAGACAAGAGTTACAGGAAGAACAGACCAGAGGACGGACACAGGAAGGACTGGGCTGGCAGATGCAGGAATGAAGATATATAAGCGAAGGGCAGACAGAAGTTAGAGGGACTATGTAGCCAGGGAAAGGGAAGATGTGACCAATAAAATAGCAGAACTACAGCTGACCCTGAGCTAAGAAGTATGACAGTCTTTAATAAGGTAGTCTGTGCTTCTGCAATTTAAATATAAAAAAAGAATGTCCCATAAGCCACCAAACAGAAAACTGGAACAAAACTAGAGATGCTAAAGCTTGGAAATGCTTGAGAGAAAAGGGAACTTGCTTATAAACATCAGTGGTCCTGAGCCCCATCCAGAACCTTCTGAAGTGGGACATTCCCACTTGAAAGGACAAGCATACCAGCCTGGAATAGCTATAGGAACAGAAAATACTTCTTAAAAGAAAGACCAGCAGGAAAAATCCAAAACAAAAATGGCAGTCTGATTGCCTACTATAAGAACAAGCAAGTTGTTCGCAGGGGAGCCATCAAAGCAAGCAATCAATTCCCTTCAGAACAAATGCCCCTCCAAGACTGAAACTCAAAGGGAACATATGAGCAGGCATGTAAGCTTGCTGGCGACCACACTGGTCTCCTGGTGAGTGGAAGAAGGGGAAAGGCAGCAATGAAGATAAGGGCCGAGTTCGACCACATTCCATAGACTCCTGTTGACCTGGAGATGAGAGAGAGAAGAGGGTTTGATGGTCCGAAGTGTGGTGAGACCTGTAGACTCCTAAGCCCATGGACAAGGACATGGCCACAGAGGGCTGGAGCTGACAGCAACACACCCAGCTGATGTGAAGTGAGGGGAGACGCACAAGAACACCCCCAAAAAAGAAACAAGTATAAATTGCTACAATTTGATGAACTTGACCTATATTTATGGAGGTAATAGCTGAAAATACCAACTGAGAGGGAAGGAGTCTTCACATCCCAGATCAATCTTATCCCCTCTCTCTGTATATAGGGTTGATAGAGATGGGCAACTTAGACATTGGCTATCTAAAATGGGAGGGGCTACAAAGGCACGCACGAAGTGACTGACTTACATGTTTTCAAGAGGGAGTTTAGTTTCAGAATGTGTATGGGAAGGTAGAATCCCCAATGAATAGTTTTCATCTTGCCTAGATACGTCTGGTGAAAGGAGATGGGGTTGAGTCTTATGATTCAATAGTAATTGTTATCATGACTAATTGTGACTGTCACATCGTAAAGTAGAAGTTTTGTAACAAAAAGAGGGGAGCAGTCAATCTTACACCAGGGGAGTCCTGGTGTGGTGCTGTGGGCTAATGCATCAGACTGCAAAGTTGTTTGAACTGCAGGTCTGTGCCCCACCCCTTGGAAGGTTCCTCTATGTCTTCAAAGGTTAGGGCTGAGCCTAGTAATGGGGTGGCCAGGCCAGGGGCTTCTCCATTTGGGCTAGGGATGGTCATAGTAGCCACTGTCACACACCTCCCCCTGCTGCTTGAACTGCTGTTTCTTCTGGCCATTGGATGCAGCATAGAGCGGGCCTGGCACACAGCTTACCACCCCAGGGCACCTGATGGTATCATTGGTGCGATAGAACTCCAGGGAGCAGAGAGAGAGGTGGGCCTCAAGTTCACCAGCTATTCCTTGGAAACCCTATACAGGGTCGCTATGGGTTGGAATCGACTTGACAGCACTTAAGAACAAGAAGTGAATCTTACAGTCCAAGGACAGAAAACCCTAGGACCATCAAGGGAGAAGAACACGAGCAGAATGTGGGACCCTATCCCACATCCTGGGGGCAGAGTTGAGGGTACAGAGAGAGAGAGAGCAGCTGAGGACTCTAGACTCATGGAAAGAGAAAGACTTGTATGATGGCAGCCAGGTGCTGGCGGCCTGGAGGTAGGCTTGCAGAATGTGTCCTTTGGTTGTTTAAATGATTATATATTCCTGAGTGGTTTTGTGTACATCCCCCCCTGCCAAAAACAAAACAGAGAGAATAGAAGCAAATACTATTGAATGATGAAAAAAAAAAAAATCAAAGGACTGAGAGATTGCAATGAGATGTGTGGATGGTGGCTGAGGAAGGGAACTAGATGAGGCCTAATGTTGGTGGCTTGGGCCTGGGAGGCTGATTTTTGTGGGAATGATTGCACTGATGGGAAGCATGGTGGCTTCATACGATAATCACTGGACTATGAACCACAAGGTCTGTGGTTTGAGCCCGCAAGCCACTCCATGGGAGAAAGATGAGGCTTTCTGCTCTCGCAAAGATCCATAGCCTTGGAAGTCCTATACAGGCTCAAAAGCACTTAACAACAACATTGCACTGATGGGCCCATCACTTGATGTCAGAGGAAGGAAGAAATCTGAGGACTTGAAGTCATTGGCTAGAAAAACATGGAGAGGAGAGAAAGTTTATCAACAAAATAGACAAGGGAAGCCTGGAGACTTTACAGAATAACTTTATGGAAGCTCAGGAGAAATGGATTTTGAAGATCAAGGCGATCAGGCAATCTCCCAAAATCCTGTTAGTCTGAAAATAAAAGTCTAAGAAGCTATTACAGGAAAAAAGACTTGTAGTTTCTAGACTCACTCCTCCCCTTTCCCCATAACTAACAAAGCATAAACTGCAGTGTGTACTTTAATGGGGGGTCAGGGAAGGCCAGAGTATGGCCAGGTTGGACAAAGATGACCGAAGCACTAAAAGAACACTCCCAGATTCTGAGCTCCTTTGAAGTTACCACAGGTAGGACTTGGGTAATGAGTGATGCTGGGTGATCCTGGAACTTGCTGAGAGACAATAGAAAGATGAATTCTCTGCATCTCAGTCATTGCTGAAGAAGGGATCAAGGAGATTTTTGAAGCAATGTTAGATGTAAATCAGTGAGGTTGGAAGCTTCACCATTCCCTTGAGTTCTGAAGGAACCTTGATGGACAATTATGGGATTGGAAACCTAATTGTGTAAATTGGGGCAGAGAAGCAGGATTCCATCCCTGGGGCAGAAGTTCCAAAGGGGACTAAGTCTCACCTCCATCTCAGGTAAGCTAGTAAGTAGCAGTTAATGAAAAAAAAAAGGGGGGGCGGGGTAGGGGTGGGAACACAGACCCCCCTTTGTTAAACTTAAACTGCTGGGGAAAAGGCAAGCATGACATCTGAAGGAGAGAAGTGGCAGGTTATCTACTAGAATTCACCAGGGAAAGACATAAACACCGGACAAGGGTAGTCAGTGGGTGGACTCAATTTGAGATTTCAAAAAATCTGGTGACATGAACAATTCTCAACAGTCCAACATAAGGGCCAGCCTTGCTTCATGTTTCAGGAAGTGATCTGGAAGGTGAGTTGTAACAGCTGTTGCTCCTTCTCTCTTGGTCTCCTTCCTGGGCACACCCCATTCCCCCAACATCATAACTTGGCCATTCCCTCTCTTCTCCACCCAACCTGAACTCAGTTTACCTCTTGATTGGCCCCCTGCCTGCTTGTTGTTTGGATTTGACTTTAAGCTTGGTGGCTGGTCTGTAAAAAGCAGAAAGTTGATGGAGGTAGTGATTAGGTACCTGGCCCAGGAATATTGTTTTGTCTGTTTCTGGGAAGGAGCCTTCATGCTGAGGGTGGGAAGAGGCAAAGCGAAGGACAGGACGGAGAGGATTTCCACACACAGGCTGCCTGCTGAGCACCACTGAGCTGCATTTCAGAACCTCAGACTGTGCTCTGCATTCAGCACCAGTGATGGGAAATCCTGTCATGCCTATCCAGGTGGATGTGGGGAAAGGAGAGGAAAGGTAAGGAAAGAGTGCAGAGGTGATGGGATGTGAGGAGTTGGGGGAAGGAGAAGGAATGCAAGTGGCTGAGGTCAGAGCCCGAGCCTTTTGGGGAAGTATAACGATAGAGAAGTTTCTCAGCCATTCTGCATTCTTTCCTTCTTGTGCTCCCCAAAACCAAAGCATGTCTAACCCCACCCAGTCCTGCCTCCCATTCCCTTCCCCCTGGTGTGGCCATTTCCCAGTCCCATCACTAATTCACCAGCTTGGGTTCTTGAATGGACATGGACAGGCTGCCATCCATCCATCCACCTCCTGGGGCCACAGGGGCAAGCAGGAGGTCCCGGGGCTCTCGCCCCATTACCTTCCATGGGGTTTGGGGCGTCGGGCCGAGGCTTTGGCCGCTCGCTTCCTCAACTTTCTGTGAGGGTAAGATAATAGTAGAGTCAGGATCAATCTAGAATCAAGTGGAAAAGGCTGGTGCAGCTGCGACCAGGGGTGAGATTGCTTTTACAGCAGCCTGACGGGTTTGTGGTGGACAGGACATTATAACATCAGATATTGAGATCTACCCTTCACAGCACCTGTACCATAGTCACAGAAGTCCGGCTAAGGAAGGATGAGGAAGAAACACTTCTGGGTTCAGTAATTAGGATGGACCTAAACTTTGGGGCAAGGGTGTAATAAAAGGGTGTTTGGATTGC